GCACCTGTTTTATACTGACTTGTAAAGGTATTGTTTACCCAACGCAGACCAAAGTTCGGGGAACATCCGTCTTTCACGCTTGTTTTAGGCGACAAAGCATTGGAGAACTTATACGACTGGCGCCTCCAATTGCAAAAAGAATGTCTTGGGTGGTGCGATCGTCTTCGAGGTATGTGTACGTAAAAGCGACTTATTCGTATATATTGTCATAGCTGTGAGTGTTTGTGTGTGTTTGATCTAACCACCTACAAGCATATACAATTTTCTGCATATATATATATATATATATATATATATTATATATTATACATATATATTATTACTATTATTATTATTATTATATATATATATATATATATATATTATGTATATGTGAACTGCGTATATGTGTATATACATGTATGTTGAAGTTTATGGAGTAGTTGGTGTAATAATCGCTCTATATTTACTTGTGCCGACATATATACAAATACGTGTATACATTTGTATATTTGATAAGATCAATGTTCCATATTGTGAATGCACGTATGTATGGACATTCGAATACAGTTAAAGAGGACGTACGCAAAAAGAGTATATCGACAATCAGAATACATACGTATGATCACATGCGTGTATCCACTTCTGTACGTTTTATCACTAAAATGTATGATTTACGCTTCGGCATACATACACACTATTCGTGTAGCTTCTATGCTTGTTGAAAACATTGCATGTTCGCTGAACAGTCAAAATGTTATCAGTACCAATACTGCTTTTTGTTTTTATTCGTCCTTTCAGCGCTTCCGCTTTTTTTGTACTAAGAAATAAACTTTTGATTCTCTCGCAGTAAATTGTTGTAATGACTCACACTCAAGTTTATATGTGGGCGTACACTTTCGCGTATTATTATGTCTATTTCTACTTCCTGCCCCTTTAGAACCTGTATAAATCACACACCGCAATGCATCACACAACTATACGCGAAACATTCATCTAACTATCGTGATAAACATATTAGTTCCCGTTCGCCTCCGCAGATACGTTGTTGTTAGACGTTTCTGTTTAAACAATATCGATTGTTTCCCCACTTATAGAAATCACTGTCGCACAAGCGCAGACCGACGGCAAGCGAGACGAGCAATTTGGACTCGAGATGCATCGTGTGCATATCGAAATCCAAGAAGCTACTGTCACACTGGTATAGTATTTGCACATATATATATATATATACCTATATATTATACATATGCATATGCATATATATATGTAGATGTATATGTATATATATGTATGTATGTATATATATATAAATATGTACATAATATAAATATATATATATATA